TGATATATTTTCAATGTTTTACTTCTATTTTAGTCTTTTTCTCATTGATGAGATTTAAACCCAACAGCTATGATGGAACAAAGAACTGAATGAGATTGACAAAAATATAAATGAAATATAGAATCTTCGTAGGCTAGCCTGTATTAGCTAGATTTAGTTTGAGTTACAATGGAGGATTCACCCACCTATTTATAGTCTAATTTTATTGTATACAATGTATGAAATTTCGTACGCTACATTATCGGTAAATCAACTATCATGCATGCATCAATCCTGGCGGGAAATCAGTGATTAATCGGCCCTCAATCGCACGATTTGGGGAATTACGTTTCCCTCTTATACCATGTTTAATCCACTTCTTTGGGCCGGACTTGGCCCACCACATATTTTGTTCCTTGGGCTTCGGCCCCCTAGTTTCTAAGCGACCCGTCGTGTATATATACACACACACACACACACACACACACACACACACACACACACACACACACACATATACACAGACACACACACACACACATATATATATATATATACATATATATATATATATACATATATATATATATATACACACACACATATATATACATATACATATATATATACACACACACACACACACACATATATATAGAAACGTAACAAAATGAGATAAATGGTGGAATATTTAAAAATTTATACTTCATCCGTCCATATTTAATCTTTACATTTGATTTTTCATGGTCTCCTATTTAATACTTTGACCATTAATATCTCTATCTGTACATAGATATATTTTTAAAAAGTTAATCTTTGAAAATTACATTTCAAAAGGAAAATATTATTATACATTTAAATCAAAACACAATGTGTTTTTTCACAAATTCGAGTCAAAATTTACTAATTTTGATAAAGAAAAGCCAAGTGAGAAAATAAAATCTGGATGGAGGGAGTATATGATATTAGTTTTAAAAAATTAATAAAGTTTATATAATTTTTTTTACATAATATGTAGTAACATAATTAAGCATCACGATGGTCTGGGCTTGTAAGGCGGTGGAATGTTGATGCCCTAGTGTGGAGATGCGAGAAGGTTGGTGGAAGAGTAGGGGAAGGGGCCGACCTATAAGAATTTGAAAATAGGTGATTAGATAGAACTTGAAATTCTTGCTGTTACTAAGGATATGACCTTAGATAAGATCAGAGTATTTGGAGAGCTAGAATTAAAGTAGTTGGGTAGACTCCTTGAATTAGGGTTAGTGTTCCGACTTCCGAATTTGTTGTGTGCCTTGTTTGACTCGTATGCTTGGTGCTTTTGATTGCAAAAATGTTCCTTAACTAATCGTAGTTTGTTAAATGCCTCAGTGTGCTTTTTTGTTTTATATGTGTTTCATCTGTGCTTGTTCTGCTTTTTGTATTTCTTATGATCTTTTAATATATCAGCTTGAGCCGGGGGTTTCTTGGAACAGTTTCTCTACTTTCTAATAGGGGCAAGGTTTGCTTACACAGACCCTCGACCAACCCTGCTTTCGTGAGATCTAACTGGATTGTTGTTGTTTGAAATATATTAAGTTGATGAGTTGTCTTTAGTATTTTGGCGGGTGTCATTATCACTACTAAAGTTTTTTTAAGAGATAAATATTGTTTGAAGTAAAATGATTATTTTGTGAGGGTGTGAGTATTTCTTACGAGTAATGTTTGGAGTACACCATTTTGTACCTCACTTTACAATAAACCCATCTTCCACAGTATACTCCGTATCTATTTTTTTACTCCTCCGTTTTAAAATTATTTGCCACATTACACAAAACGAAGCCATATTTTAAGTTTTTTCAATTTATTTTTTTAAAGATTGTCATAGAAATAAAAATTAAGTTTGAGTATTTAAAATTACGTAAAAAATTCTTCAAAATAACAGTTGACAATAATATTTTATTTTTGTCAAATAATTGATGAAAATGTTTTTGCGATGTTTGAATAAAAAATCATGACATTCTTATTGGAGCGAATGAAGTATTTTTTCCATCTCATAAGAAAGGTATAGCAGATAGTTATGAACAAGAATGGTGTGCAAATTAGGGTAAATGGTTTTTCCCAAACATGTGGCGCCATTTGAGTGGGTCTTTAGAGCATTTACCAATACCATGGAGGGAGAAAACCCGCCGCCCGCCTTGCCGCTCCTCCATTGCAGGAGGAGGTGCAAAATTTCTGTCGCGGTGTTTTTTGCACATTCGGCCCTGTGTTGGTCTCCATTTGCAGTGCTTTTGGACGAACGATCGTTCATTGCGACGGTGCACCGCGATTCTCCAATTTTATTATTTTTATTTTTTTTCATTTTTAATCTCAATAAATTCAACACATCTTCAACTTCAATTCATCCACTAACATCCCTCATCTCTCACAATTCACTCTCATTTCGCTCAATTCACTTTATCTCCCCATTTTCTTATTATCCTAAACTAAATTCCAAGGGCAACAACTTCAACTTTGAGAATTTCAAACTCGATGCTGTCATGCAATTTGCAAACTACAATTCTTTACCTGGTAACGACTTTGCCCCATTCTCGGGCTCCAACGGTAGTCCTACCAATTGTCGGTCGACGGTCGTTAATATGACCGACTACGATGTTTCTGAGTTGGAGTCCATCAGCGAGGGAATTAGCAAAGGAAGGGCAAAAAAGGCAGACGGGTACTCCGACAAAAAGTCTGACATTGGCGAAGTATTACGTCGACGTGTCAGAGGACGCCATCGTCGACAACTACCAAAAATTCAAAATGTTTGGGGAGCGTGTTGCGGCGAAGTAAAACGCCAAGAGGCCCGATGGTACGCCCGTAGGTGACGGGGAGATGCTTCGAAAATATTAGAGCCACGTGCGCCCAGAAGTCTTGAACTTAGATGGCATATATGCCAACGTGTTCAAGATGTGGCCTAGTAGATCCTGTGTCATAGACATTATGTCGAAGGCGTTGGACCTTTATTATGAAGCGGAGGAGAGAGTTTTCAGGTTCTAGGAAATTTGAAAAATTCTACAAAGGAGCCCCAAATACAACATCGGGGCAGAAGCTGGAAGATCAGTGCCGAAGTGATTCAAACTCTCCAAGACTAGTTTGTAATCAACGAGCGGGGGCGGACATTCCATCGACCTCAATGCCACAGGGGATGACTTCCCCCATAGATCGAGTGACGAACCTAGCGGTTAGAGCCCCTCGATCGGGTCAAAGGCGGTAAAGAAGGGGAATGCCAAGACAACGGCTCCTAGTATTCCATACCACTCAAAAACTTGGCGTTGGACATGCTGAATAAAAACTTTGATAGCATGAGCTCCGCAATTCGGTACACCAACCTCAGCAAGCTCATGGCAATAGATATAACAATGTCGGAGATAGAGCTAAAGTACCACCACGACATGATGACGACGATCCACGCCATGATAAATATGGGCAACTCAGTAGTATTTGTTTTTAAATTCTTTATTTTTTTAAGCACTTCTTTTATTTTTCAGCTTTTGTAATTTTAATTTTAAACATGTTAAATTTCTCCTTTTTTATTAATGTAGTATTTCGAAATGTAATGTTGTATTCACTTATTTTTTATTTTTAAGTGTTACAATCCTTTTTTATTTCTTTAAAATTATTCATCTTTTTTTAGCTGAAAATAAATATTTGTATTAAATTTATATAAGTTTTGAATTAAAAATAATAAATAATGTAAAATAAATGGAGAACCAGATTTTTAGTGCGATAGCATTGTAGAATTTTGAAATGAGACTAAAAATTAGAAAGATGTTGATGTGATAGGAGTTGGGAGAATCTCCCTCGTTGTAAATGTTCTTTGCTCTAGAGACGCGTCTTCCAAATGAGAACTCATGCCCGCATGGATCGTTCAATTGGTTCAAAGAAAAAATGTCAAGTTTATTGATCCTAGGGTAGAATTCCGGCAGCGGCAGTGTGAGAGTTCTAATCTTTGTTATAGTTCCTTGTGCACACCGGGTACAGGACAATCTCTCTAAAAATAAGATTGAGATTATACTATGATTTATTCCTCAGAATCAGGTAGGAAGGGTGTGGGCTGCACCTTTCCAAATGAGTACTACGGAGTAGTAATTTTAAAAAAAATGCTAGGGGTACATCAAAAGTGTACCTCAAACATCCTCCACCCCCTCCATTACCACAAAAAAAGTAGATCTGTGCAAATAAGGATCCGGGCCGGATCCGGGCCGGGCTTGATACAAATTACTAGCCCATTTGAATGGGCGGGCTTGGCTCGGCCCGGATTTGATGGGCTCAACTCTTTACCCATACCCACCCACTTTAGCGGGCCGAACTGCCCACCGGGCCGCTCGGCCCGGATAAAACATCAAGTACATTTTTTTTATACAAAAAATCAAAAAGAAAATATTGAACTCCTTTTCAATTGTTTAAAATAAAATTACCACTCGCCACATTTACATAGAAAACATAATAAAAATATTATTACATAATTAATAAATCCATCATACAGATTCATTAAAACACTATTTATTGTTGTTTAAGAGTGGTGAGTGATATGAACTATTATACATGAATTAAAGAAAATTTTAAAATTTATAATGTCTAGATAATTAATACGTAGTAATGAATTAAATAAACTAATGAATATGGGCGGGTCTATTGGCCCGGATGGGCTTAAAGTAATTTCCATATCCGCCCAAATATAATTCGGGCTTGGACCGGCCCGCCCATGTGGGTATTAAAGATTGTCCATATCCGCCTATTTTAAAGGGTGGGCTGGCGGGCCGGACGGGCCGACCCTTGTTTGCACAGGTCTAAAAAAAGGCAAGTAACATTCAAAAAAGAAATAAAAAATAAAAAGAAAATAAAATGAATGGTGTAGAGGCAAGTGGTGTACATTTGGGGTACACCCTGTACCCAGCATCTCCCAATTTTTAATTAAAAAAACAGTTTTTTTATCTGTCTGCCGATGCTGAAGAAGAGCAGAGCAGTCATAAATGTAGTAGCTAAACCAGATACTGTGTTCATCTACCCAGTTTTGAATTTTTCTACTATCTCACTCATCAATTCAATTTTGTTTTCATGAGGAAATTAAATTCGCCCAAAGTTGGCATTATTGCAGTTGAGTTTTGAGCTCTCTCATTGATTATGGGGTGTGTCCTCGGGACCAGAGCTGCCGGAGAATCTACCCGGAAGGACAAAAAACGCCGGCCGTCTTGCGGAGCTAGGGTCAGGAAGGACGGAGAGGATGTCTCCGCCGCCGCCGCAGTCACCGTCGATGGCGGCCGCCGACGGAATCACAAGAGACAAAAGCAACCGCCGCCGCCGCAGGAGCTTTCCGCGATTGGGAACTTTGCGGCCATCGACCAACAGGGGTGGCCGTTGTGGCTGGTCGACGTCGCCGGAGATGCGATTAAAGATTGGGTTCCGAGGCGCGCCAATACGTTCCAGAAGCTCGATAAGGTAATCTCCGCCGAACACCCAATACATTTCGCCGGAGTTACAACTTCCCGGCCATTATTATATACTGTTCTCTATGTCGTTAATGTCAAAGAAAGGTAAAAGACTGCAATGCCTTTTTGCTAAAAAGCAAAACTTTTGATTTTGCACTATGCTCTTTGAATTGGATTGCTCTAAATTCAATTTTATATATTTATTTATTTATTCATTTTTGGTTAAAAACTTGAGGAATCAACTATATAAAATCTGGTAAATCGATTCGAGACATTGTAAGTTATGACAAAAACAGCAAACCAGGTAAAATCCCACAAAAAGTAAGCATTGTTAGATAATAATCCATAATAAATTGTTCTATGGGAGGCATTGTTAAACTCTTGATTAGTGAGATTTGTGGGTTTTGTGTTTTTGGGTATGGGTATAGATAGGGCAGGGGACATACAGCAACGTATATAAAGCGAGGGACTTGATAAGCGGGAAGATAGTGGCATTGAAGAAGGTTAGATTCGACAATTTAGAGGCCGAAAGTGTGAAGTTCATGGCGAGAGAGATACTCATTCTGAGGAAGCTTGACCATCCAAATGTCATCAAGCTTCAAGGCTTGGTCACTTCCAGAATGTCCTCCAGTCTTTACCTTGTTTTCGAGTACATGGAACATGATTTGGCTGGCCTTGCTGCTTCTCATGGTCTCAAGTTCACTCATCCCCAGGTATAATACCCTTTCTTTACACTATGTTTTCTAAAAAAAAATCTCCCTTAGCCAAGGGCACCTAGGGGCTAGGCCTCCCTTAGCTGTCTACGGTTAATCCCACCTAAGGGATGCCTTACGGTTTTTGGGACACAAGTTTACATCATTTTGTGAAACCTCATTGATAGTTTTTTGGTTTTGGGGCAGGTGAAATGCTACATGAAACAGTTGCTTTCTGGACTTGAGCACTGCCACAACAACGGTGTCCTGCATAGAGACATAAAGGGTTCCAATTTGCTTATTGATGATGACGGGACTTTGAAGATTGCAGATTTTGGATTAGCATCGTTTTATAACCCTGAAATAAAACAACCCATGACTAGCCGGGTTGTCACCCTCTGGTATCGCCCTCCTGAGCTTCTTCTTGGAGCTACTCACTATGGTGCTGGTGTTGATCTATGGAGTGCTGGCTGCATTTTGGCTGAGTTACTCTATGGGAAGCCCATCATGCCTGGGCGAACCGAGGTGAAAATTCCTTTTGTTCCCCCTTTCTAATTTCAAAAAGTAATTGAAGAATAAGTATGTAAAAATGAATTTGTTAGTTAGGATCATAAAGAGAAAAAGACTAAAGTAGGAGTAAAAAATTGATAATATACCAAAATAGGAGTTTCATGTTTTTATTCCCAAAATATGTATTGAAATGCATATACAGTGCCAATCATGACCATGTACATTACCAAAAAGTATTATGAAATGTCCATATACAGTGTCACATTACCACAGTGCAAACTCCTATTTTGGGGATAAAAACATGAAGCTCTTATTTTAGTACTTTTTGTCTTTTTCTATGTTTTACTCCTATTTAGAGTGATTTCTTTATCATTAAATATCAGCCATTTTAGCGACAAAAATGGCTCGCTCCGAATCTTTCCCTTGCTGTGCAGGTTGAGCAACTCCACAAGATATTTAAATTATGTGGTTCGCCGTCTGAAGAGTATTGGAAGAAATCCAAGTTACCTAACGCGACACTTTTCAGACCACAACAACCATATAAGCGGTCTACTAAAGACACGTTCAAGGATTTTCCACCCTCTTCGTTACCTCTAGTAGAGACTCTTCTAGCAATCGATCCTAACGAGCGAGGCACAGCCACTGCAGCTTTACACAGTGAGGTAAATCTCGTGTTACAATATAAAAAACTATCTCGGGCCTACAATCACAAGCTTGAGCTTTTAGTTGAGTTGGTTCACTGACATGGTATCAGAGCCTTGCTAACCAATATGACACAAATTCGTACGTCACAGTCGTTTATTCATGTTGTTATGTTTATAATTGTTGTTGACACTGTTTGTATGTGTTGAACCGGGCAGTTTTTTACTAGTGAGCCATACGCGTGTGAGCCATCGAGCTTGCCAAAGTATCCTCCAAGCAAGGAAATGGATGTAAAGCTGAGGGATGAAGCACTGAGAAGGTGTTCTTTCTTTCTTTCTTTCTCTCTTAAACAATTTAGAAGCTGTATCTATAGGTCCAAATCCCATTATATTCTTCTACACCATTTTTAAAAACAGGTTGAAAGGTGCAAATGGGAAAGGCCATGGGGCGGATGGAGCCAGAAAGGCGCGAGTCAGAAACCGGATTAGCCGTGCAATTCCAGCTCCCGAGGCTAATGCAGAGCTCCAAGCCAATTTAGATGTAAGTTTGCGTCTTCTTTTTCTCTCTTTCTATTGTATCTTTTTCAAAAAAAAAAAGTTTTTTTACTTAAAGAAAAAAAATATCTTGTACCACTACGCTTGCATACTGTTGAGATACAATAATTTAAACAATCAAACACTCACTAAGGACCCGTTTGGTTAGCGCATGAGATACGGGTTCTGATATCTTAGGGAAGTGTTTCACAAGAAACAATGAAACACTCAATAACAAGTCTTAGGGGCTGTTTGTTTCAGCCTCTTAATGGTTCAGATGTCTGAATGGTTCAGCACTTAATGGTTCAGACTGTTTGTTTCAGCCTCTTAATGGTTCAGACGTCTGAATGGTTCAGACATTTGCCTCTGAATGGTTAAGTGCTATACAGAGTCTGAATGATTAAGACATCTTATCTGAATTAATCAGACATTTGCCTCTGAATAGTTAAGTAATATACTAGCTCTTAATGGTTCAGACCTCTTACTGGTTCAGCACTTAATGGTTTATATAACCAATGCCTGTTGTTATTGATTGATACAGAGGTGGAAAGTGAGAAACCAGCAGGGAGAAGGGAAGAAGAGCAAGAGCGAGAAATTCCCGCCGCCGCACCAAGACGGGTACATAGACGCCGGGCCGCTATCGTTCGGCAGCGGTGGGCCCGACGCCTCTTTTGCTTCCTCAAATTTCGGCGGGAGAATGTTGCCTCCGCTCCAAACCAGTGCCGCGACGAGGAGAAAGAAGAAGGGCGGAGAAGAGACGACGCCTCGCGTGGGTCCCGCCCGGAAGTTCATGCATACATTCCTCCCATCTTCGGTTTTGGATCTGAGAGTCAGGAGGAGGAGGAAGAGGAGTAGAGCGTCCATTTCGGAGATCATCGGCCACTCAATGTAGATAATATGTGAGGAGGATGGGTTTTATGTCGTGTTTGGTTGGTGTCTTTTCTTTTTTCTTTGCAAGTATATATATATATATATATATATATATATATATATATATATATATATATATATATATATATATATATATATATATATATATATCTCCCACATTTTTTTTTAAATTTTGGTACAATAAACTAGTTAGAATTTTATGTATCCGAGGATATAATCCACACCTATTTTGGTTATACGGATCTTAGTTAATTATATGACTTCCAAATGAGAGGTTACGGATTCAGAAGCAATAACTCTTGATGTTTCGATAGGTTGAAAGAAATATGTTTATGTATGAGCAGATATTACAATTGTAATAATAAAATAGAACAAGTGCACATTTTCTTTTCATAAGAGGATAGAATGGTCTCCAATCCATAGTTTCAAAACCTAACAAAGATAACAAAAAAGAGCTTTTTTTGTATACCTCTGTTTATCAAGGATTCTAATGCCCACAAGTATAATATGGGATTTACAAAACAGAAACTTATTCCTGACAAAATTCTGTTTTTGATGACTCACTGTCTCAAAAAGAGAATCCAATATCAACAAATATAATAAGGAAATAGAGTCTTTTTTGGGACGAAGGGAGTATTATAATTTTTGGGTCATGCTAGGGGCACCTATTACTTACTGTTGAATGTATGTGAATATCTGCGAGAAACTTGGGGCGAAAAGTGAGGTGAGAGTTGGTGTGACTTCACCAGTTTCCATTATTTTTTCCCGAGTAATTCATCCTAAGCAGTGGCAGCCATTGGAACTGATCTGTAGCATGCCCGTTTCGCTGCACGAACAATGTCTTCTACCTGTTAATTCAGTCATAGGCTTAGTTTTTAAGTTGAGATATGCAAGGGCAGTTTGACAAACAAAAAAAAAACGGGCAATAAGGAAGAGCAGAAACCTGTGGGACTGCCAGTCTTTCGAGATTTGCTGCATAAGGCATAGGAACATCAGCCCCGGCTATCCTTTCAACTGGCGCATCAAGGTACTCAAAGCTTTCCTCAACCACACAAGCACTGGCAAGTGGTGCCAATGATATGATATAAACAAATTATCCAAATGTTAGAATGATATGAAATGGAAACGACATGCATATAAACTTTTGGATTGGGTGAGGGGGGGGGGGTGGGTAAAGATTGATTAAGGCAGGGGGTAACCAGATCTCAGCGCCAACACCGTGCTGAGGAAACCCTTCCTCAACAGTTACGAGCCTGTTGGTTTTCCTGACAGAATCATTGATGGTAGATCTGTCTAGTGGTCTGATTGAGCGCAAATTGATAACCTAATCAGAAGAACATTAAGTTGAAATATATGTTATTTAAAAATATGAAAATGTGCATTCTAACTATAAATCATTAAATCCATGAGAATGGTAATATGGACTCTTGAGCACCTCAGCGCTAATCCCTTCCTTCGCAAGAACATCAGCAGCCTATAAAAGTTAAAACCCCATTTGGCCTAGTTAGCAAATTTGACAAAACACTGAATTCACCCTCCCCCCACCAACCCCCCCCCCACCCCACACACACCCACACACACAAACATGGGTCCAATACCAAATATAGCTTGGGAAAAGAACGGCAAACCTTGAGAGCGTAGCCAACCATTTTTGAAAAAGTTGTGATTGTAACATCTTTCCCTTCACGTTCAATCTGTCAAATGATTGTTTTAAGTAAAAGAAAGTTAAGTATACAGTTATACCGATGAAAGAAGATAATTTGTGATGTGTAGGAGGGACTTACTTTAGCTTTCCCAATTGGAACACAAAAACTAGAATCAAGAACTTCAGCTGAAACAGGGAAGGATTCGCCATATCTGGAGCACAGATACTTGATTATTAAAAAATACCAAAAAGAAAAGAAAAAGAACATCAAACTCTCCGGAAAGGAAAACAAATTATGGTACTTACAACAATTCATTTTCAAGGAAAATGACAGGATCCGGGTCCCTAATAGCAGCTTTGAGAAGGCCACGAGCATCTTCGGAAGAGTATGGAGATAGGACCTTCAATCCTGGGCATGCAGCAAACCACGCTGCATAGCACTTCAAAAGATCTCACGTCTTAGATATATGCTGACATTTTTATTCACATTTTTTTAAATGCTTGTATAAATATGTAATTTTCATTTAGAAAAATAATAATTTCAGTCACACAACAATATACTCCCCTTGTCCCTAACTTGTTTTCATGCTTTCCCTTGCCTGTCCCAGAAGAATCTCACATTTCCTTTCGAGGGAAAAAATTGAGTCGTTTGATATTTATTTCTCCTCTAAATAAATTTCAACAACACAATTTTAATTCTTGTTATCTCCATGTCAAGTCAAAGTGTGCCTCTATGCTTGAGCGGAGGGAGTATAAAAATATTTTCCTAAAAATAAAAGTTTGAAGTTTTTCCAATTCGAATAAATTATAAGCACCACTGAGGGAAGCTAAACATGATATCCAATCTGTCAGGAGTCACTAATAGCACTCCGTATGAGATCCAACCCAAAAAAGCATACATACACATTATATCCCACTCAAACTCCGTATGAGATGCCGGCACTAAGGTAAGATTAGAATGTCTCATATTTCTTATAAATTATGAATGTGAAATAGTCGATTGATATATATCAGTATTATTAGTGTACCGATGGTGCATAATGACCCACTTAGACCCATTCCACTTAACCAGTTAATTTATACTTTATATAGTTAATAAATGGAAATATGTCCATTTATTACTTAACCCAATTAGACCCAACCTGAATCATATTGAACTTTCATATCGGGCAATGGCGTCTCTACTAACAGCCATCCTTGGGGGATTTAAAGATCTCTTCCAATTGCCAATAGAGCTTGAAAAGAAGATAAACAATATGAAGTCAATGTCATACCTGGGAATGTTGGGCACCAACACCAGCTGCAGCTCCATTAGGTCCTCTGAAAACAATAGGTACAGATATTTGTCCAGAAGACATGTAGTTTGACTTTGCAGCAGAATTGATTATATGATCAATTGCCTGACAAGGATACCCCATACACAGTGTCATTGCAAAGATTTTCTGAATATATATCTTGAAATATAACCTCAAAGATGACCAGATTACCATGATCACAGGATCAACTAACACACGGTCACACATGGTTAACCATTTGAATTAATTAATGAACATTTTCTCATTTGAAAAGGACAACTGCTTAACCTGCATTGAAAAGTTAAACGTCATGAATTCCACAATAGGTTTCAGGCCATAGTAAGCCGCACCTACTCCAATCCCTGCAAACCCAGCCTGCAAAAACATAAAACAGTTTATGACTTATATATCAACAGACGATTCAGCAAGTAGCAGGAAAAATCAAGGAGAAACCTCAGTAATAGGTGTATCAAGAACCCTGTCTGGACCATATTTATCCAAAAGCCCTTTTGAGATCTTCAAAAAGAATCACCAGAAAAATGAAAGAACTGTGATCATGCCGTTATATGGAAGGGTACAGAAGGATAAACAAAGGGCAAAGAGAACAGTTCACACCTTGTATGCACCCTGGTACTCCCCAACCTGTGTCAAGATATACGAACAACAATTATAAACCACGACAAGCTCATCTAGAAAGGAATGAAATTGAAAGGTGCAGAAACGAAAACAAAGAAACAAGGTAAGAAAAATGATGGTTACCTCTTCTCCCATTAAAAAGACCTTGGGATCTGCAGACATTTCTTCATCAATGGCTGAATTCAAAGCATCACGCACTGTCATCTGTAAGTGTTTTCATTAATGAAACTTCAGAATGCATGCATTGAAGACCAAAAGTACGAAGAGAATAAATAAAAATGACCTCTTTTGCTGCAGAAGAGTAAGCTCTGGATGCAAATATCCTACTTCTCACCAAGGGCTGATTCAAACTCTAGAAACAAAGTAACAAAATGAAACCTCAACCACGGCATAACCCACACACATGCATCAAGAAATCAAATACTCCATCCGTTCCAAAATGAATTGCAATCTTCAAACCACGTGCAAAACCCCGTATCTTTTAAATTTATTTTATTTACGAACTAGTATAGAAATAAAAAAATACAACTCACATACGAACTACAGAGTATTAAACAACTAAGTCAAAATTTCTACAAAATAAGAGATGACAAGAATATTTTATCTTATCAAATGATCAATGAAAACACACAAGTAAACAAAAGTTACGAGGCCATAAAAGTTACAGTATAATTTTTTGTGTGATGGAGGGAGTATGCAAGACAAATGAAGAGATATTTACCATAGCAGAAATGCCCCTGGAAATCATTTTGCGGCCTATAAACGCAGTCATACCTTCTTCTTCTCAGACTTTAACAGCCCTAATCGACTGAATCAACAAACGTGCAAACATGACAACTCCATTAACAAAGATAGAGGCACAGATCATAAATGTTCACAATATAAAATCACAGAACTGCGATTAGGTTATCTTCCAGTTGAGAGCGAATACATATAAGAACCTGAACTCCGGTGGTCGTTGAGGACAAGCGGAAAGAAGAATGTAAAACAGGGATTCGATCAGCGATGAGTTTTCACTTTTCACCTTAATGAGCAGATTTGGGGTAATTGAGTACTACGGTGGGTAATTTTCAATTTATGAATACTCATTTTTAAAGTAACATACTCGTTTTAATGTTTTATCTACGGAGTATTTGGTTTGTTTTTTACTCCGTATTTTAGTTCTATATATGTTGAGTTAGCATTTTGAAAAGGTTATCTACAGGCAGCATTTAGCGTTAGTATTTTCAAAATAACCTGCACTGTTGAAATTTTATCCAAAACGCTAACGTTATTCCCAAACAGACCCTTCATCTGCGAAAAATATACGGTGTAATAGAGAGTATTTATTTTTATATTTAGGCCTGTTTGGTACACGGAATTGACAGAATTTGAATTGAGTTAGGAGATGAAATTCTATAGAATTGATTTGGTGAAATTGAATTCTCTATTTCCAATTTTTTACACTATCAATTTCAAATCCACATACTCTTGTGCTACCAAATAACATACTCCGTAATTGGAATTATTATCTCATATTCTAATTACATAGTTTGAATTTCGTGTACCAAACAGAGCCTTGGAGTTTATTGCACCATGACCCCTTGTGGTTTGGTAAATGTGCAGAGTTACTCCTATAATTTTAAAACTTACGTGGTCGCCTTCTGATATTGCTATGCCGATGCCCCTCTCAACTAAAATATCCTTCAAATATTACGTCAATATATAGCTCTACTGCCCCCCATGGTTTTGGAAATTGGCACAAACGCCCTTCTTTTTTTTTCTACTAGTTTTTTCATAAATATTTTTTAATTGCTTTTTTAAAAATTATTTTTTATAATGTTTTAATAATTAAAATTTTTTGTGTTTGTAATAAAAACAATCAAATAACATGAACTAACATACAATTCATTTGTCTCAAATTAACCATTTTCATTTTTTCTCCAAAAAAAGTTTTTATTGGTTCATTTTCATGATACGAAAAAACTTAAAATGTTTTCTTTTTTCACTAAAGCTCATTTCTCATTTTATGTTCATTAATTTTATGCTTTTTTATTTTAATCAAAATTAAAATTTAAGAAAAAAGAATAGAAAATAAAATAAAGAAAAAGGAAAGTACATGAAAAATACTTTTATAGAATAGGGAAAATTAAGTTATGAAAAAACTCTTTTGCGCATTGGTTCAAAAATATTACTCCGTATTAATATATAATTAATTATATATTAAAAAGACGTTACTCAGTATTTTTTGGTCTCGACATATTTAAAAGCATAAAACTTTTATAGACAAAAAACGAAAATATTTAATTTGACGAATGAAGTATATGTTAAATTTTTTATTTCAAACACAAACATTTTTTATTTTTTAAAACTTTTAAAAAATTGTAGGTTTAAAAAAACAATTTTTCATTATTTCACACACAAATATTTTTCTTCTCTTTATGAAAAAAAGAAAAAGAGTAGAGGGGTGTTTGTGACAATTTCCAAAATCATACTCCCTCCGTTCCAAAAAGATTTACACCTTTCAAAAAAATTGCGTCCCACAATCTCCTACCCATTTCTATTAAAAAACCACTTTTACCCCTTACTTTTCAAACCCTACCTATAACATCATACTTTTTTTCTAATAATCTTAAAATCACATCCTACTTTTACCAATCACATCAAGGGTATTTTTGGAAAGTCAACACAAAATTATCCCTCCCTTAATTTCAACTTTAGTCAAAACGTGTAAATCTTTTTGGGACGGAGGTAGTATATGAGAATGGATCTATTCACATTAAATTTGAAGGATATTTTATTCTAGAGGGACATTAGCTTAGCAATATGAAAACCATTAGGGGCAACGGCGTAAGTTTTGAAGCCATGAGGAGTAACGATACACATTTACCAAACCACAAGGGGCGTTGGTGCAGTAAACTTTTTTCGCTTATTTGAAAATATGACATTCGAAGTTACATAAGGTAGTTTTTGATAACTAGAATTCATTTGAAATCTTAGATTTCGATTTCAATATTTGAAATCTCATGATTTCTAATTCTAAATATTATTTGGGAAGTTATAGAAATTTCAATTCTAAAATTTGAAGTTTGAAGTCGGCAAACACAGTAAGGGAAGCGGGTTAATATGTATGGTATTGTTGTTGCGTAAGGGGAGATCACTTTTTAATTACAAGTATATACTCCGTAATTTAAAGAAAAGTTGTGCTTGAATTTGCAAATGACATGGGGAGATGTATGAATTTAAAATTGAGTTAATTTTGAATTAGAAAAATTTGGTTCGAATCCAAACCCAAATTCTTTCAGTTCCTTAACAATAATTTGGATCAAATCTAGATTTAAAATTCAAATTCAAGTTTCCAACTATATCATAATGTTCTTTATAATTATATAAAAAAGTTGTTCAATTATGATCTTATAAGGTATACATGTATAAAATGAACGTTTTTATAATGGACTTACATATGGATTTCTTTCTTTTTATCAGACCCAATACATATACAACAATATTATGTACTAAAATATAGATCTTGAGTATGCACCTAAAGACCACCAAAGAATTTGTGTATTACAATTAACATACTCATTTCATACCTGAGTAAGAAATTAGAATCCAAATTCATCATATTCAACCCCTCACCACCCAGGTTGTTGCTGCAAAAACTGACCGTGAGTCTGCCACTACCGCTGCTGCGAAAGCCAACCATTGCCGCTAAGCATTATGCAACTCTTCTTCACTGTAACTTTTCTCTTTCTCGCCGAGGATGACCTACTCGACCTGTGCACCTATATTCTCTGCATCTAATTTGTGATTAGAGTTTTGTTCATAGTTAGAGCTTCGAAGGTAAATACCTCAATTTATAAATTTAACATCAACTCTACATGATGAACTTTAGTGCCGGTTGTAGAATATAAGTTACGGCAACAAAGTGTGTTGCTAACACTTTTTAAATACTTCTAGCAAATTTAAAACATATGTGGTGGAATTGAGGGTTTGAACACACTTTTTAACCAATGCAACTGAATTTGGGCAAGATCGATTTAGAAATGGGAGGTTCTAAAAAAGTTGGAAAATGCTAGACACTTTTTTTGTAATACTAGTGTTTTGACCCGTGCCACGCACGGGATTGAACGAATTTTTTTTAACTTCACAAATTTTGTTCAATGTTTTTTTTTGCACTGGATTTTTTTTTCATTTCTTAATCCAAAACAAACCAAAATTGCATAGTTACATTAGTCATTAGCTACCCTTTTCTATTAAATCACATAATCTCGCAATACATAAAGAGACTATTAGTATAAAAAATAACTTAATTAGTAGCTTTCTCAGTTGCACAGCTGGTGTATAACTTTGTACCTTGCCCTCCATATTCTATATATGCACGCAGCCCATATTGTACATGTTTTTGTTTTGTTTTTCTGTCCTTTATCATGTGTAGGCTCTCTCCTCTACCTTCAATTGTGTTTTCCTTGTCTTGTATATGTCGTATATGGTATCTATCCATAACTGGTTTGAATGGGTTCTATCTCCCAAATGGATGCTTTATTAATTTCAACATCCATCTCACACAAACCACATTTGGTATCAATGGTAAGATACCTGCTGAATCTATTCTTGGTTTGCAATCTTCCTCTCATCAGTAACTAAAAGATAATGGGAAACTTAGTGAGAGTATATTTGAAGCTCTAGACCCAATCCTTCCATCTGTGTGTAGTTCTCTCCCCTTAAATCTAATCAGCAATCATATATCCATCACCTTTGGGCATATTTTCAAAGTAATCTCTAACCTTTTAAAAGTCAATTGAACTCCCCCATAGAAATTTTTTGCAGATGGCCACAATCCTCGTCATCACCTGTTTAGGCAAGATGAATAGCCTTGCTCAGAATGTAACTATCCCCATTAGCACAAGTGAATAAGTTTGATCCTAGCCATAAAGCTCCATCCAGTTATTCTTCTGCTAGTTTGATGCGCTCCACACTTCAACAATTTAAGAATACGGTTTCATTTATAAAATAACTATCCAAACCTGGGAGGGAAAGACGGAATCCAAATCCTTGTATTTTGAAATGATTCATTCATTGAAATGAATGTCAATCACATTGTTAGAAGGCCTGAATCTCTTGAAGCGCACAGTCTTGACTTGAACTTTGAAAATAAATGATTAATCAATCAACAACCGGTTAAATGCTTATAGTTGTATATTTTCCACTGCAATATTTTGGATCATAGTTTTCAAAAAAAATTGGTGAATGCTGCCACAGGTAAGAGCTAAGTAATTTTTATCTGAATGTTTATTTCCATTAACATAAAGTTGAACAAAATTTGAAGTACGCAATGAGTATAGAATAGTATCTCAGATCATTTATAAACAATGAGCTTTACAAAATATGATGCACAACACACCAACAGGTTACATATTTCTCTAAGGTATAAATTTGAACTGCAAAAATTTTCTCCATGGATAGACAATTTTGAAAATTCAAATGAAATTGATAAATCATCAGTGCATAGTAAATTTATAAGCAGAATTTTGTGATTAGAGTTTTGTTCATAGTTAGAGCTTCGAAGGTAAATACCTCAATTTATAAATTTAACATCAACTCTACATGAAGAACTTTAGTGCCGGTTGTAGAATATAAGTTACGGCAACAAAGTGTGTTGCTAACACTTTTTAAATACTTCTAGCAAATTTAAAACATATGTGGTGGAATTGAGGGTTTGAACACGCTTTTTAACCAATGCAACTGAATTTGGGCAAGATCGATTTAGAAATGGGAGGTTCTAAAAAAGTTGGAAAATGCTAGACACTTTTTTTGTAATATTGTTTTTTTAAAAAAATATTGTGAATCAAATTTAAAATATTGTTGCACTAGACTTGGAAGAGTTTTATTCCTCCCACCCTTCCAAAATAATCTTCTCGTTTCAAATAATGAGGGAAATTTCATCTTATTTAAGATTTTTTTATTTACAAATTGGAATATAAATTAAAATACAAATGACACACAAGTAGTATTTTTTAACTATATCAAATATTTAATAAAATAAGATATGAAAATAAATTTTATTTTATCAAATAATTAATAAAAGCACACAAATAAATACTCTTTCTGTTCGCTATAGATTTTCCCAAATGTCCTTTTCGTTTGTCCAAAAAGGATCTTCTTATTACCTTTTTTAATATTTAAAATACCATACCTATTCAGACACACTTTGTTTATTACAGAGTACATCTCACCCACATGATTTAACATATATACTCCATCCAAATTCATTAAGGTGATTTTAATAGACTTCCTATGTTCAACTTGTCCTAAAATCTATTCCCTCCATCCCAAATTGTTTATAATATTTCGAACGACGTGCAAAATATAATCTATTCTAAAATTATTTTATTTACAAATTGACAGAAAATAAAAAGTAAAGATTACATAGTTTAAAAGTAAATCAAAAGTTCAACAAAGTAGATGCAATAAGAGTATTTTATTTTATCAAATGATCAATCAAAACGAGTAAATAAACAAAAGTTATCGAAATATCGAAATAGTAACTCCGATATACTTTTGGAGACGGAAGGAATACAAAAAGTCTATTTAGAAATATTTATGACGAATGGAGGGAGTAAAGCCATCAAAAATTAGAATCGTAATAACAAAACCATTATTTTGGGATGGAGAAAATATGTTTTAGTACTTCCCGTCCCAAAAAGAATGTCACAGTTACTATTTCGGTATCTCGATTACTTATGTTTGTTTACTCATTTTGGTTGATTATATGATAAAATAAAATATTCTTGTCGGATCTTGTTTTGTAAAACTTTTAATATACTATTGAACGGTGTGATTTTATTTTTCATTTCTCTACTAATTTGTAAATAAAATTATTTTAAAAGAGATGATATTTTACACGTCGTTCGAAATGTGGCAAACAATTTGAGGCAAAAGGAATACGGAGTACTATTTTTAACAAGTTTGTGTACAATAATAAGGGAGAACTACTTAGATAGGAATAAAAAATTATGAAAATACCAAAATAAGAGTAATATGTCTTTTAAGACCAAATTAGAAATTCACAGTGTCATTGTTACACTGTCACACTCACTAGTCACCACATTGTCACATTGTAACTACCACACTATCACCACCACACTATCATCTGCTGTTGTTGGCCACCAGAGTGCTGCCGCAGAACACATATGATTGACTGATCATACTCATTTATTACACTGTCATTATTTTTTCAACACACTGCAACACATACTCTTACGACACACTACCATTATACTTTTATTTTGATTTTAAAAGACTTACTCGGGGTAGAATTTTTATTTTGATATTTTTATACTTTTTTTACTCCGTATAATTTTTATCTTGAAATACGGAGTATTTGTTAATAATAAACTACTCCATATTTTTCAAACTTCGAAATCAGCACAAAACATTTGAAAATAGCCCATCCCGTCATTCCCGTGTGATGCACTCATGCACTCACTTTTCCCACTTCTAGTCTCTCTCATAATTTTGTCCAGGATTATGCTACGTGTACTCCAAGTTTTGTACTCCAATTTGTACCTCGCAGTTTTGCACCGACACTTTGTGTTGGTGTAAAACTAATTTTTGTTAAATGCACCAACATTTGTGTTCGTGTGAATTTTTATTAACGCACCAACACTTGTGTTGGTGTAAACCATCGAAATATTTGTACAAACCTGTGGTGTACAAATGGGTTATATTTTTTTGGTGTAAGTGTAGCATGGTCCTTTTGTCCATCCCACTTTAATGGATTTCACTCACTCTCAGGTTAGAAGATTTGCTAAAGCAAAATTGACCAGAACCAGAAGAAGTTTGAATTCCATTGATATTTCATCTGCCAATACCATTACTCACTCACAAAATCGTGCTCTCTTGATCACCAAAACGCAGTAATAATCACTGTGAATCGGTCCTCCATCCATGGCGACGAGCCCTAAAGAACACATCGAAGAGATTCGCAGAAGCAAGTTCTCAATCGGAGGAAAGCCCAACCCTCTGACGGAAGACCTTCACCAAGCCGTCAAAAACCTCTCCGCCGAGCTCTACTCCAAGGATGTCCACTTTCTCATGGAAGTCGTCCAGGTCTGTGTGTGTGTGTCTGTCTGTCTGTCATCTTCGTCTTCCTCATTCCCCGCTGCATATTTGCATCATTTACATAGGATAATACTAGCTTGTGATGATGATTTGCAGAATGCCGAGGATAATGAGTACGAGGATGGAGTGGAGCCGAGTCTGGAATTCGTCATCACCTCCAAGGACATAACGGAGACCGGAGCCCCATCCACTCTGCTGATATTCAACAACGAGAAGGGGTTCTCCCGTAAGAACATTGAATCCATTTGCAGCGTCGGCCGTTCCACTAAGAAAGCCAACCGCAAGAGCGGCGGCTATATCGGGGAGAAAGGTACAGTGATTTGTTTTTCCCATTTGTTGCACACTATCCCCCACAATTGCTTAATCATAAGTGCAATGATCAAGTTCTTCATTATACATGTATCGTGTATGTCCATGGAGAATATCTGAATATATTAGATGTGTTTAAATTTTATTCAATCTTATGAATCTCTCTTGGTATGATTATACTGCAAGCAATAACTAGTCAGTCCTGTATTTGAATGTTTTTTGTGAATGGGGTTTTGGAGCTTGGGCGGACATAGAGTTTTGCTCCGGTCATGTTTACTAAACATATTTGTGGTTAAAATTAAATTTGAGCAAGTTCTGCTCATTTTTCTGTCTTCTCTTCAATTTGTTTATGCTAGATGAACTTTTGGGCGAATTGTCTTTTCGATTAGTTTTGTTTTTAGAGCTCAAACTTGACTTGTTTCAAACTCGAGCTTGGGCCTTAAGGAGCTGAGTTCATGATCCATATTTAAAGATGTAAACAACATGAGAGTTATGATATAACTATGCCCTAATTACTTGTCCAAAGTGAGTCGAGCTCGGCTATATGAACTGTGAAACAAAGCAAGTTTGATCTCGATGTGTGTTCTCAAATGGATGAGCCAAACGCGAGCCTTGGCGACTTGAGGTGATTCAAGTTTGAGCAAGGTGCGTTTCACATAACTGCACTAATTTCAAAGCATGATAGAAGGAAGTTGTTTATGTTGCATTTCTCACAATACCACACTTGACTAGTCTTGAATAAATATGTGCCTCGCTATGTTTGGTTCAGTATGATATGTTTTATCTACACTTGCCACGGGTTTCTCATCTCACAGCTCTGTATTTGCACTTCTCTGTCCAGGGATTGGGTTCAAGAGTGTGTTTCTTATCTCTGCCCGGCCCTACATTTTTAGCAATGGATACCAGATTCGATTTAGCGAGGGTCCTTGCCCTCATTGCAATGTTGGCTATATTGTCCCAGAGTGGGTAGATAAGAACCAAATTCTTGCACGTGTAAAACAAATATATGGCTCATCATCTAGACTCCCCACCACAACTATAGTATTGCCACTAAAGTCTGACAAGGTGAAACCTGTAAAGGACCAACTTTCAAGTATTCATCCTGAGCTCCTTTTATTCCTTTCTAAGATAAGGCAGCTTTCAGTCAGGGAAGATAATGAGGATCCAAAGCTTAATACCGTGAGCGCGATATCCATCTCAAGCGAGAGAGATCTTGTGAAGAAGAAAAACATTGATGCTGAGTCCTACCTGCTAATTCTCTCGGCTGATGAAGAAAAGGTGGGTAGAGCAGCGGGGCAATGCAGTTACCACATGTGGAGACAAAGATTTCCTGTCACACAAGAGCACCGAGTTGATAGACGAATGGATGTTGATGAGTGGGTGATCACGCTTGCATTTCCATATGGAGAACGTCTCAGTGGGGGAAATAGCTCCCCTGGCATATATGCTTTTCTTCCCACAGAGATGGTCACAAATTTTCCGTTTATAATTCAAGCAGACTTCCTACTATCATCATCAAGGGAAGCCATTCTTTTAGACAACAGATGGAACCAAGGAATCCTCAACTGTGTTCCAGTGGCCTTCTTAAGTGCATTCACCACATTGGTCAAAGACAACCAAGATGTGCCGGTCAAGACTCTGATTAATATGTTTGGCTTTTTACCTATTTGTAGCTCTTCATATTCAAGTCTCAATGCAATAAGAGGTTCAATTAAAGAAAAATTGCTTCAGGAGGATATAATCCCATGTCAGTCATACACAAGTCAGAAGATTTTCCGAAAACCATGTCAAGTGGGTAGGCTACGACCTGCCTTTTGGAGTTTATTAAGTAAGGCAAGGAAGCAAGGGGTTTCTTTGCACAACATATCTTCCCACAGAATACACATTCTGAATTCTGCATTTGATCATGAGGAGTGCAACCACATTTTGAATTTTTTGGAAGTGAAGCATGTCGAAGACGAGTGGTATTCAAGGTGCATTCAAAGTTCAGATCTTGTTTTGGGAGTGTCAGAAGATCTTTACATGGAGCTTCTATTGTTTGTTGCTGAAAATTGGACACAATCTTTCTCGAAGACTAATATGGTGAAAATACCATTGCTGAAGTACGTTGACATGAATGGGCATGAGGCACTGTGTAGCATAAGTGATGCTTCCAAGGCTAATCCAGCATTGCTTCTGTCCACCGAATCCAATCAAGTATCTTGGCTTATTAATTGGAACAAAGAGTTCCGATGTGTGGAGGGACATTTCTTTACTGAACCAACACAAGAAGCATTTCACAGCAGTTCTAAGTGGCAGGGTGTGCTTGAATGGCTTCTTAGTGAGGTAAAGGTTGACTCTGTTGACGTGCATGACTATGCAATTCTCGCCCGTGACTCACTGAATCATGAACGGGAGCTTGTCCTAGCATACGCTCATTTCCTATATCACTCATTTTTGAAGCTTTACGTGACTGCTGCACAAGTTACTTCACATTGCAGTGACATGCCAATTATTGATGACTACGGGCAGGTGGTAACCGGAAGAAGAGAAGGTCTTGTTGTACCCGCAAATGGAAGTAAATGGGTTCAGCTGATTGGTTCAAATCCTTGGAAAAGTGAGGGTTACATTGAGCTTGGAGGAGACTATTTGCATTCTCGAAAATATGCTGATGTCCTTACCAAGAAAAATGAGCTGCTGGAGTTTTTCAAAGCTTATGCCTGTGCTTTGGATATTCCTGACTTGCCTCCTCCAGAATCTACACTTTCCAGTATGTCCTCCCCGCTAACCAGGGAAAATGTGTTCCTGCTCTTGTGTTGGATTCGTAATATTCGGAAGAATCAAATTTCATTGCCGGAGAGGTTCTTGACATGCATACAACATGGGCGTTGGCTTAGAGTCCGTCTATGTGATAGTCATGGATACAGGGCTCCATCGCAATCCTTCTTCCATTCTTCTTCCTGGGGACATCATTTGCAGAATGGATCTGTACGTATTGATATCCCATTAGTTGATAAGGATTTCTATGGTGACACTATAGACAATTATCAGGAAGAGCTGAGAACAGTCGGTGTCATGTTTGAATTTAAAGAAGCATGCCAATTTATTGGGAACCATTTTATGTCTATGGCATCTTCTTCTTGTTTAAAAAAATCTGATGTAGTTTCGATTCTTAATTTCATTAGATACTTGAGGGATAAGTATTTTTCACCAGATGACTTTATCAACAGCATTAAAGATAGGTGTTGGTTGGAGACCACATTAGGCAAGAGGAGCCCTGGGAATTCAGTTTTCCTTGATAACGAATGGGCTGCTGCCATACAGATCAGTGACATCCCATTTGTTGATCAAAATTATTATGGTCAGGGTATCATAGCTTTCAAGGAAGAGCTCAAGTTACTTGGTGTCTCCTTTGGTTTCAATCAAAACTATCAGCTAGTTGTTTCCAACTTGAAACCCTCAGAAATGTTGAGCTCACTAAGTGCTGAAGCAGCTCTCTTGGCATTAGACTGTATCCATCAGCTAAATTTGAATTCTTCAGATAGACTATGCAGTGCACTAATGGGAAACAAATGTCTAAAGACGGTGAATAATGGATACATGTCTCCTGCTGAATGTTTCCTACCTGGCCCAACCTGGGGTTGCCTTCTTGAGGTTTTTGACGACTTCCCCCTTATTGATGAAAATTTTTATGGAAGCAGATTACTGGAGTTCAAGAAGGAACTGTACAATTTGGGAGTGACATTTGATTTTGACATGGTCATTGAATCATTCTGTCAAGTTTTTAGGCAGCATACGTCTAAATGTGCTTTGACAAAGAACACTGTACTTTCTCTCCTTCAGTGCTGTAGGAAATTAAAAGCAGAAGGAATCAATTTGTTATACTATATCAGGAAATATATTCGCGAGGCAAAGTGGTTGAGAACTCGACTTGGAGTTGCCAGCAAACCGGAAGAGTGCATTTTGTTTGGTCATGGCTGGGAGCCAATTGCTTCGGTCACTCTCTTACCATTTATAGATGATGCTTATTATGGACAGGATCTTCACGAGTACAAAACAGAGCTTAATAGTATGGGTGTTGTGACCACTTTCAGAAAATGCTCAAGATTTGTGCCTGCAACCCTCCGTTTACCTCAGGACCCTACTCGTATATCACCTTCTGCCACGTTTTCACTGTTGCTGTGCATGAAGAATTTCCAAAAGGATCTGGATGAGGAACTGATCCGTGCACTCAGGGAAAGACTCGATCTGAAGTGGATCAAGACACAAGCCGGCTACCGATGTCCAAAAGAGTGTTTGCTATTCGGTCCCGATTGGAGTGGAATCTTGAAGCAAGAGGACGGACCATTCATTGATGAAAAGTTTTATGGTCCCGAGATTTTTTCATACAGAAGAGAACTGGAAGGTTTGGGGGTGGTGTGTGAGGTTGAAAAAGGATGCTCATTGATTGCTGGCTACCTTGAGCTGCATTGTAATCGCACGACTATCAACAGGATATATTCATACTTGCTAAGTAATGGTTGGTTTAATAACCATGAAGTGGCGAAGACTACAAATATATGGATACCCAGTGGAGAGAATAGCGGGAAGTGGGCTACTCCTCAAAGCTGTGTCTGTCATGATAAAACAGGTCTTTTCGGTTCACAGCTGTTTATTTTAGACAAGTACTATTCTGTCGATTCACTGTGTTTCTTTGCCAAATTGGGAGTTAGAAACAGTCCTGGTATGGTGGACTATTTCAAGCTTTGGAAAGCATGGGAGTGTGCAGAAAGGAGACTGTCCCCTTCTGAGTGCTGCGCCTTTTGGGAGTTTGTAGTGAAGCACTGGACCTCAAGTGCACAAAAGTTACTCCAAGAGAATTTATCAAAAATCCCAGTTTGTTCAAGTTCAGATGGGGTTCTGTTGCTTAACAAAGATGATGTTTTTATTGCCGATGATCTCTGCTTGAAGGAACTTTTTGAACAGAGTTATGACCACCCGCTGTTTGTTTGGTACCCGGAACCGAGCCGACCATCATTGCCCCGAACCAAGCTTCTCAATATCTACAGAGAGGTTGGAGTTAATGCTTTGTCAGAAACCGCCCATTGCAGGGAGCTTTCATCAGTCGAATCTACTGGACTGGAAAAGGTCAATCCAGAAACGGTCTATATTGGGAAAAATATGTCCAAACTGATTCTTGGTTTTCTAGCTCAACCTTCTCTTGAGATGGAAGCAAAGCAGAGGCATGACTCTTTAAGGAGACTCGTCAATGCCAGTTTTTTGAAAATGGAAGAACCCATCCCCGTTGAGTACAAGCTGCCACTTTCGTCCGGGAAAACTCTGACTGCTAAAACAAGCAGAATGATGAGGTGGGAGAGAGAAAGCTCCCAATTCTTCTTCACAGAAGTGAAGGAATCAGACGGTTATAGAGGCATGCTTGAGTTTGCTACACATTTCTCAGAAGTAGTTTCGGAGGGGATTTTATGGGAGGATGAAGATGAGGTGCAGGAACTTGCTGAGCTGATCAAGCTGGGCTACATGGTGAAGTTCGACGAGGAGTCTATCAATTTCTTGATGAAGTTAAATAATCTGCAGATTTTCATGGAAGATGAACACTTCATTTCTTCTCTCTTCCCACTGCGTGAATAGGTATGTTCTCACATTGTTCTTTTCTATTTACCTATTCTCATTAAAAATTACTCACAAAATGTGCTGCCTCAGTCCTAAAACAAATTCTACACCTTTTTTCGTCGGACCCAAATTAAACTTTGAACTCTCTCATTTCCTTCTTAAGAAAGGCTTACAACATTTCGTTATAATTTATAAACAAATTTCACTTCTCAACACTTCAGTTTTAACTCTGTAAAACTAAAAAGTAACGTTCATTAAGGGACGGAGGCAGTGATGTATATATATATCATTTTTTTACAGAATTAATGCTCTACACTAGTCATCATTTTGATTTTAACATGAAGCCATTAATCATAATACCGCTTTTGTTCCTCCAATATTTGTGGGCTCACTTGAATATCTATAATAAATTCAGATTTCTTCATGGGTCCAAAGGCTGAGACTCTGCAGGTGCAAAGCTGCAAACTAATAGTATTGTTGCTTTTTATCTGCATATTCTGTTATGTGTATCTTTTTGTCACTTAAGCTTCTCAGAATTTGCTTTTGTAAAAAACAGAAGCAAGGGTAACAACACTGCCATTAGTCTTTGTTTATATATTTTTTTTGTGAACTTTTAGTGCTAATTGTTTTTTACAGTTAATTGTCTAGGTACATTTCACGTCCCCAAAACGAAATAGCTGGGATTAAGGCGATGAAAACGAATTTTCTTATGATCAATGTCCAGCGTAAAAATGTTACATGGACCATACACACCCTTTGGTCACAAAGTGTTTTGGGCAAAGGGCTTTTTCTTTTTGTCTGATCAGATTGGTTCTGATTGAATTTAGTATGGTATGATATGATCAAATTTAATTCTAGTTAAAGTTATTTCTGATTTCATTCTGATAAAAATAAATAAAAGTAATAAAAATGTGTTAGAGAACATGCTCAAAAACTTGAGCACAGAGGGAGCAATGGAGCATTACTTAAGGGTGTGCGTGCTTAGTTAGACTTGGGGGAATGAGGGGGTAGGGAAAGAAAGATGAGGGACCAACCGAACAACCTTTGTTTGGAAGTGGAGAGATTAATTGGTAAATAATTAGTACTTCCTTTTAAATTAATTTTTTCATTGTAAAATTAATAGTGTAATTAGAGTTTTTGCAAATGAGAGAGAATAATGTTATCCATTCAATGCTTTTATTAAAACAATGATCCATTCAGGAAAATAATTGGTAAATGATTAAAGTATAGAGTATTTCTTTTGTTTCAAATTAATTTTCCAATTTTCTTTGCCGCAAAGTTTAAAGAAAATAAGTTCTTGAATAAAAAAGAAAAATCAAGCCATTACTCTAGGAAATACACTATTTTACACCATTACTCCCAAATTTAAGCAATTATACCTTTGCTTCAACAATAAAAAAAATATTTTCACATAATCTCTCCCCCAACCACATCAATAGCTAAATCATTTATCTACGAGGACTAATAAGCACTGACATGGCAAATGAAATGCATTTCTTCTTCCCTAATCGTTCATTCTCTTTCCTGTGTATTGGTCTCTTCACAAACATCCCACCAATGATAAAACTTCAAAAACAATCTCATTCTTCATACATTTATTTCATTTTATGCAACCAAAACAAAAAATACCACTCACAATTTTGGTAGATGTAAAAGAGTAGCGCAAGGAATGAACTCTTTGGTACGAAGATGACATTTTACTTGCCATGCCACCACTTATTAATTCATGTTGACATATGAAGAAAAAAACATGAGCTCCATCCCCGAGGGCCTCCTCAGACCCGATCGGATGATCACTGAAAAAAGATAAATTGGACTTTGATCGTAGATTGATGGCAAAGAGTGAAATCTACACCTGATACTGCAGAGATCTTATGCTTAACATAATTGCCTTCCAACGCAGTTGTCAGAAATCGAACTTGCATTTATCCCTTGACTTCCTTGCCATGTCGATTGCGCAATGCCCACCGGCTCATGTTGATATATGATATAACAACTTACGGGGCATGCGAAGTAATTATGTAAAAAATAGATAAATTGTTGGAGAAATAATTTAATTTGTTAAATTTGGAAATAAAAATGAAAAATATTGGATTTCATGGAGTACTCGCATAAATTTTTTTCAATAAAATAAAATTGTGTGATTGAAAACTTTAAAGGCGAGAACCAATGTTAAGTTGTTAACCATTCAATCTTTTTATCAAAACAAACGAGAAGTTAAGGGACAAGAAGATGGAACAACCTTGTTTGAGTGCTTCTTGGGTACATATCATTTTTAAAGACTTTGTCACATAATTTTTTAATTAAAAAAATATATGTTTATTTACATAGTAAGAACATGCTTATTTTGCTCATATATAGCTCTATAGTAGACCTTAAATCCACCATAAAATTTGCCACCTTGTTTGGAGGGATGGATTAATTGGTACGAGTAAATAATTACACTACATTACAAAAAATATTTTCATTTATTTTCTCACAATGTTTAAGAATATATAAAAGGAAAATGCTAAGGGTACACCAAAAGTGTACCCCAAACATCCCACACCCCCTCCATCACCATAAAAAAAGGCAAGAAATACTAAAAAAAAAAAATTAAAAATAAAAACAAAATAAAATGAATGGTAGGAAGGGGAGTGATGTACATTTAGGGTACAGATTTGGTGTACCCCTAGCATATCCCAATATAAAATTGTGTGATTAAGATTTTTGCATTAATCTCCGTAATATCTTCCAACACAATAAAATCCTCAATAATATCTCATTTTAAAAGAAAAATGCGTTCTTGGCTGGATTTAAAAAAAAAGTGTTTTTTGGTAGGATAAAGCTATTTGTACACCAAGTTTTTGTACCCCATTTTGTACCCCCGCAGGTTTGCACTAACACTTTGTGTTGATGTAAAACTAATTTTTATTAATGCACCAACACTTTGTATCCGTGTAATTTTTTGTTAACGCACCAACACTTGTGTTGGTGTAAACCATCAAAATGTTTGTATACAACTGTGGTGTATAAATGGGGTACAATTTTTGGTGTAAGTGTAGCATGCTCCTTTTTGGTAGCCCTAAAATCTACATGTAGATCTCCTCACATCAAATGCAGTTTTTGTATTTATTTCACTTTTTGCAAAAACAATGCTCATCAGAGTAATAAGCATTTATTTATCACCTTCTATCCCTAAGTCCACGAAAAATTTTATACACCTTAAGAAGTTCAAAATAAGAACATATATAAACGGTTTTCTTTTTGTATATACAAATATTTTTGTTCACAGGGACAAAATTGCCAATATTGTCCGAGCAAGAAAGGTTGCATGCACGGATTAAAAAGTACTTATCTGTGGGTAAAAATGGTGTACAAATAGCATTACCCGTGACTGATCTGTGGGTAAAAAATGTGCCCAAATTACTGTGAGGGAAATGAAATTAGCATCTCATGCAAGAATCTCTATAGCTTTCAAATAAGGTCATGAAAAGATAGAAGCTGTTGATGGATGGAGTTATCAGTACAAAACTTGAGCACAAGTGAACACAGAGCATATAAATAGAGATGGAGAGAGCCAACACCTTCAATTACTCAAAGCTTGTTCATAGATTGGAAGCGCTTAACAAGCAAGATGTTCATGTCTAGGTAGCGTTGGGCGCAGTTGGACAGGCAACTTGCTTCGCTCGAGCTGAACTTACTTCCGGGCGTGCCCGTGATGCATTTGTCCCAACACGAGCTTGTGATCTTCGAAATCAGCTCGGCCACCATTGCCTTTTGCTTCTCTTCCTGGGATACATCACATTTATGATCATCTTCGACCTCAACACTATGTTTGGTTCAAGGAATTTGGAAAGGGAAAAGAAAATGATATGGAAAACTATTTTTCTTGTTTGGTTAGAGAGGAAAAGAAAAGAAAAGTGGAAGGAAAATAAAATGAGAGGACAATATGCACTAAGATGAGAGAAAACAAAATTCTTTTTATTTTGGTGATGAAAGGGGGAGAAAAACATTTTTCTTTTCCTTTCCTTCAAAATTTCTTGAACCAAACATAGTGTGAAGGTTTAGTCTCACCTTATCGTGTTGATGGTACAAGTTTAGACCTTAGATTGGTGCAAGTAAATCTAGATATAGAACTCATACATGGTATGGTTCTGAATTTTAATCCTTCAGTCCAATTTAATCCCATTCTAAAGATTATTTTCACACTTGAACAAAAGGAAAAAAAAACTAGACCATATGTACCCAGATTTAATAAAAACAACGCAATTCTTTGGCACTGACTTCCGATGTCATTTTAAGAAACCTGGTGATTTCGAGGCCTTACTGTGTCTCATTGAGCCCGGGACCCAGTGATGGGTTTAGGGGGTGGGGAGGTTGGACACGTGTGGGGTGGGGGGTCATG